CGGTCGTGTCAGGGGTCACTAACGAACACTTCTGAGCGTGGGCGTTCCTCCCAGAAATACATCCGAGCAAAGGGCTCAGACTAAACCTTTAAAAGAAAACTCATGACCACCCCAAACATATTGCGATGCCGTTTTCCTCACCCCACGGCTACCAAGAAAACAGTCCTTGCATCGCAAGTGGGGAGAGTGGTGTGTAGATCTTCTGATCCCCAGTGTGTAGATCTTCTGATCCCCAGAGTGGTGTGTAGATCTTCTGATCCCCAGTTGTTTAAAGTCAGCCGAGAAGCCGTAAGTTCTCGGCTTTACAATACATCAGGATTGCGAAGAATGCGTAGAAATAGGAATTATACAGACCGTGTCCACGTAAAACTACCGTTTATGTAAGGGGAACCAGATCAAAGTTAATCCGTGTTTTCTTAACAATGACATGTGCCTTTCTCGCACAGCCAAGACTGTGGTGACACTCGGATAGCCATTTTCTGGAAAAGTGTGATAAAAAACAACAGCAATCATCAGCATGCTCACATTCATCGAATCATGACACTGCAGAGGCTACTGCTTTGAGGACAAGGACGAATATGTTGTGGACACCACCTCAGAGCGGTCTATCGTTACCGCTCTGATGTCCTTCTGGGCGGCACTGACGCGACTTGACGGGACCGATCTGGACCAGGGGTGGCTCCAGGTGGGGCGGCACCGCACACTGCTACAAATACGCTTATAAATACGCTGTCGAGGAAAACATGGGGTAGTTTTCTCGGAGTCTTTCCGTACTTTTAAAAGCTTCCGCACGTTGCAGTAAAATGCTCTTTATCCCAATGCATAAGTGATTTGGTAAAAGACACGTCTTGCTCTTAATTTTTGTCTGCAAAATCTGGTACATGTCCAGTTTCCCAAAGATTCTTTTGATCTGAGAACATGTCTGGTTATGTTTTGCACTTGCATATCATAGGTTTGAACTAGCCCATGTTTCATAAATACATCTATTAAAATCGTACAACATTTATTAAATATGGTATAAAATGCCGCAACTCATGGAAAAATAAGCGCGCATGCTAGATCAGTCCTAAGTCCCCGCATCCGCATTCTTTGTGCTTGGGTTTGTTTTTTTGTGAGAATGTGGAAACGTGATGAATCTGTTGAGAACATTGTGATTGGTCCTGGTCATTCAAGGAAACAGACATAATTCCTTGCAAGATTTCGATGCTGGAATATTGTTCTTCATCTGTACACCAAGCCAAAAAGTGATTCTAGAACACTATTGATCAATACTAATGGTTCTTTTCCTCATGTTCTTGGTATTGCAAGTGGCACATCTACTAAATTGTTTACATTTTGCAGCACACCGCCGTCGCAAGACGAAGCTTGGAGACGCGCAACCACGCAAGGTAGTCACGGCCAAGTGCAATGGCGGGATGAAGACCGCGCACGCCCGCCACAGCGTTCCCTGAAGTGTCTACGCACATAGGATGGTGCATAGATAAACATGACTGGGACATGTTGGCGCACGAAAACTGTCAACTTTGCGGAATCTTGAAGCTAGCTTTTGGTATCGCGATGAAAAATAACTTAAAGCTTCACTCAGCACTACGTCAGGCATGTCCAATGCAAAATGTTCAGGACATCCCGAAAGATAACGAAATGCAGTGTTACAGGATCTTGTAGACTTGCCCTATATAAATTGTATAGCGATCGTATAGGACTGGCCAGTAGCAATATTATAGGATTGTACGTAATCTTGAAGCGATGTTCCATTGAATTTCTTTAGAATTTCCAATTACCCTACAGGATTTATGCACGATTCCTACAGGACCATTTAATAACATCCCATAGAATTTGTATGAGACTCTTATGGGGCTCAAAGAAACCCTGTAAGATTGTCCCATAGTATTCCTTTACGGTTCCTATGAAAATTCGAAGGGATCTTAGAAGACTGACCCATAGGCCTCTACAAGATCCTACAATTATCCTTAAATTCCTATAGGTTACCTTTAAAAACCCTATAGAACTCTTTTGAAACGCCTATACGATTCAGGTAAAATTACTGTAGGACTAAACGGAAACCTAACCTGGATAAAAACCTACATGATTTCTATGGGATTCTTATCTGAATAGTTTAAGATCTACATAGCACTGTCATTTAGGAGTCTTATAGGGTTGTCGTATCTAATTTCTATAAAGAGAACCTTTACGACTTGTACTTGACATTTGTATAGGGATGCCTTAAAGGACCCTATTGCATTTTTTTACTAGTGTACTTGACACCAACTGAGGTCTTTTGATCTGGAGCATGGGATACCTTATTCATAAAGGTGTTCCCATAATCCAGAAAACAACCTGTTGTTAAAAAGACATAGAATAAGGGCTCGAGCAAAATTAGGCTGTAAAAGCCTCCTGGTCCCGATAATTATTACCCTCTAGCTCAAATGTGGGGCCTTATTGATGTAAATGTTGGCTATCTGCGTGAGCTATAAAGCCTTTGATTGCAGACAACGGGCCTCCCAAAATTTTGAAGAGTAAAAACCATGCTTATTCCTCCCTCCTTATCCGCAGAGGGAAAGGGAACCCCTTCCTGCTGCGCTGCCTCTGCTAGGGTTCGCTACAATACAAGCCACCAGGCGGATGACAGTTAAATGCTAGTATATTATTTCCTCACCAGAGTACCCCTGGTGGCAATGTAGCGCACCTCTACTTCATGAATTATCTGGCTCGCGCTGGAGTCGTTTTTGTGCGTTTAAGTATTGATGGATAAGTTTGCATTTACGGACATCAACAAAGTGAATTATTTGGCTTCCACGTCAATAGTAGGCGGAAACGTTACCGAAAAGGAAACGGACAACGCAAGTGATGACGAGACACTACACGACAGCATTTGTCCATTTCCTTGACGGAGATCGGGTCAAGCCAGCGCTAAAGATCGCGTTGCTCGCAACCACTGGCACTCACACGTTACTGGAAAGCAGGTTTCATTTGGTAGATGCGCAAAGCACGAACGACCAGCGCCCAAACTAAGTCCGGACACGCAGCAACTGCAGCAGCTCGACGGTTTGGAGCTGGACTGGCACATCGAAGCGGCGTACTCCACGCTCCCGCCTGCTCAAGTTCACCTCGCTGGTAATCCACAAACTCGGGGTTATCCTGGAAAGTTGCAGGTCCGTTCAACGTGCTCCATTACTGTCGACGGGTGGGCCTTGTATGGACAGATCTACTGCAAGTTTCTATGCCACGCATTTGGTGGCATAGATCAATCGATCAAGTGGTCTTGTGATTAGGACATGTGGCGGGCGGAAGTGGTGGGATATTTTTATAGCAGCTATCATCTGCCCCGTCTTCCTTTCATTCACCGCTTCATCTCGTACCTCGCTACGTGCTGTGCTGCCGGGAGCAAGCAGCAGCAGTCAGCCCCGAGCCGGCGGTGACAACACGGCCGCAGTCCCGACCGAGCGCCTGGGCACGTCCTGAGGTTGAGGCCCTCTGCCGCCCCCCCCCCTCCCCCGCCTTCTGAAATAGTCAGTTGTGGCCGATAGACGTCTAAGCTAACGGAATAAGAAAGCTGATATCGCGGCACAGCCATCCGGGAGTTTAAAGCCCGCGGCATACGATAGCGGTTCCTGAGTTCACAATGGTGTTGTTAATAATTGCATTAAACATGGAGAAGTGGCGGGGAAGGGGAGTTCTGATCACCTTCACTGAGGCTGGGTGATTGCCGAGCGCTAAGTGTGCGTCAATAGGTAAGTAGCCTGCTCTTCATCGCTGTGACCTGGGATATCGCCTTGTCGCCCGTCGCCTTGGATTCCATTCTCCAGCAGACGGCACCTCCTTCGTCAGCACCTGTTCGGACTATCTATAGAAATCGATAGAAACGATCGCTGTGTCAAGCGCACTACTCTAGGAAAGGTCGCTGTCTGTTTTTAGTACAATGGCAGCGCGGCAGCACCAGCCTGCCGGTGCAGCCCACAGCCGGCGCTCATGCACAGACAGGGGCTGGTACCAGGTTTGTATGGCCTTCGACGTTCGCACTGAGTAATGGCTTGTTGGGTGGATACTGACCCAGGCGCCAAGGCCATCGCTGGGACGACAACTGGCTGCAGGATCCCACCGGTAGCGCGACCCCATCTCGTCACAGGGGACGACAGTTGGCTGCAGGATTCCACCGGTAGTGCGACTCCATCTCGTCACGAGGGACGACAGTTGGCTGCGGGATTCCACCGGTAGCGCGACTCCATCTCGTCACAGGGGACGACAATGAGCCGCGGGATCCCACCAGCAGCACGACTCTATCTCGTCACAGCAGCCTTCATAGCAGCACAACTACCGCAACAATAACAGAGCCTAGCGTAGCTGTGCGACTCCAATTCGTGACAGGATCCTCCACGGCCGCATGATTCCGACTTGTCTGGAGACCCCGCACAGCTGTGCGAGCGCAGCTTGTCTCGGAATTTCCATCGCTGCACGTCTCAAGCTCGTACAACGATCCCATTGCGCAAGACGGCACCGCTGCGGCACGCTTCAAGGTCCGGCCCAGCAGTGCGACTTCAGTTCGCGCCAGGATCCCGCATGGCCTCACGACACCGACTCACCCCTGGGTCTCGTAACACCTCACGACACCGGCTCGTCCCTGGGCCGCGTACCACCTCACGACACCGGCTCATCCCTGGGCCGTGTACCACCTCACGATACCGGCTCGTCCCAGGGTCGCGCACCGCCTCGCGACACCGGCTCGTCCCTGGGTCGCGCATGGCTGCACGACACCAGCTCGTTGCTGGGTCGCACACGGCTGCACGAATCCCGTACCAGCCCGCGCTTCCCCACCCCCTCTCAGTGCTCATCTATGCCTCGTCCCTGCCAACGTGACTTTGCCTCATCCTTTGGCATGTCTCGGACGCTGCCAGTCTCGTGACAATTCAACAAGAGAGGCTCGTTGCCTCTGGGACGTGTCTGGATGAGGAGCACAGCCCTTATGCAGGTGTGACTCAGAAACTACCCAATGCAATCTAAGCTGAGAGATGAAGTGTATTCAGTCACTACAACTATCGCATACAGACAGGAATCAACGCCACATGCGGAACATGCCACTGCTCTCGGTTGCTCAAGAGACACACAGTTCGCTGAACAAACATATTAGATATTATCCCCTGTCCTTACAATCGTTGTTCTGGACATTTCGCTAATCTCCTGTTGGATGCCAGATCGACTGCACATTCCGCTTTCATCATGAGCTGAGCCATATGACTCGATCGCGCCGAAACAAAGCAGATAACCACAACAGATCCTGTCGTTGATCCTAAAGATAGTCTGGTCAAACCTGGATAGCAACTGCACACACACACACACACACGCACACACACACACACACACACGCACACACGCACACACACACACACACACACACACACACACACACACACACACACACACACACACACACACACACACACACATATATTATATATATATACATCACCCACTTCGTTCACCGCCGGGACTGGTACGGCTTTGAGTCGTGTCAATTGGACCATGCCGTAGGCCTCAGATGCCGCACTGTCGCCTCAGCCCCAACTGCTGGCGGGCTGGAGTCCTTCAGTTGTGGCACTGCTGGCGCTCCGCCTGCAGCTGGCGCTCCAGGTGAGACACGCGTTCGCCGCACGTGCCGGGCGGCAGTGGGTCAGCCCAGTCTCCATCGGCGCCGATGCCGCCGACGTCGCGGCCGATGGGCAGCGCACCCCAGTCGGCCAGCGGCTCCGGCGCCGACGGGCTGCGGAAGGCGCGAGACTCGCGGTACACGCGCACCGTCTTGGCGGGCAGCGGGCCGGTGGGACGGCGGCCGGCCGTCATCGGACACAGAGAGCTGTCCACCTCCGGGATCAAGTACAGCCAGAAGCCGTCGGGCGCGTCGTCGCGTGAGACAGTGAGCTGGGCGCGCTGGCTGAAGCGCACCCGCTGCAGCAGGTAGTCGTCGGTCAGCTCGTACGGGTGCGTCACGCAGCGGCGCGTGACGGCCAGCGAGGCGCACACGTCGTCACCGGTGACCGTGGCCACATTCAGTTCGACCTCGAGCGCGCCGGACGCCGGGTCCCAAAGGTGGCGCCGGTACGACACGTCGGCCGGCGTGGACTTCATGGTGCCCCCGTCGCCCAGCTTCACGTTCTCAGTGGAGACCCGCCAGCGTAGCGGCAGCGCGTGGGTGGAGTTTGTCTCGGCCTCCAGCTGCACGGAGTCCTGGTTCTGGCAGAGCAGCACCTCCAGCCACTGGAGGGCTGGGCCGCCGCCCGGGCGCCACGGCAGCTCCCAGCTGTGCCGGCTGCTGCCGTCCGACACCCAGAACCAGACGGGCGTCTCAGCCGTGGGTCGTGCGTCCTTCCTGCCCATGGGGTGCATTTGCACCTTCAGCACCTCGTCGTCCCGGAGCTTGTCGCGGGTGGTCTCGAACGTCTCCGTCACCCGGCCCAGCAGGTGAAAGTCGATGTTCTTAGCCATGGGCTGGCTGGCGTGGGCGGCGGCCACTAGCGCCGTCAGGGCGAGCAGCGAGTTCATGGCCTCCCGATGTTGGCTGCGGCGGCAAGGTCTTCAGCGGAACCAGGTCGCCTCCTCTTCGTGCAGACCGGTCTCTACCGGCGTGGAGCTGTCACTATCTCTCGGCCGTTGGCGGAGCGTGGATCGTACGGCGCCGCGACGAGAGCCGAGCCTGCACTGCGACGGAGCGGCCTCACATATATGTACCATCGGCGCTCAACATGACT